TGTTTACAAGAAGCCTTCATATAGCCTTAAATAATTTAAGTTATATAAACTCTGTGTGTTATTTTCAAGTGACCTTTATCATGAGATCTTATATGTTTCACAATAGCTACTTGCAAAAGATAAAACTATTGAATTAATATTTGCAAATTACCTCTTACAAGCCTAAGAATCATGACTTTTATATTCAAAAGACTGTTTTGTGTGACCAATGAGATACAGAATTGCTTGCTATACAAACTACTTCCCAAACACTGTGATGTTGAATCTTTGCTGTTTTGTACTTTGACATCTAGATAAGCAAAGCTAAAATCTTACAACCCAATACACAAAAGCCCTGTTACCACAAAGGTGTCTTACTTTGATTCATCAAGGGAGCATTCAAAATTAAAATCAGATATTTCTTTGAGGTAGAACTTCAGTTGACTCATTATCTTTTCTTGTAATATTTCTAATCCTTGACAATGTAAGGCCAAGGGATATGGTACCATTCAACTGCAAAAAAACACCAGACAAACCTTGTTTTCATGACCACATCCCAATGTGGGCACCACAGTTCATCTGAGGCTGCACAGAGCGTGGTCTCTGACATTTGTTCCACCCAGCCCTCCAGTGTCATTTAAAATGTATGATACCTAGCCCAATATTAATACCCTAAGGTGTCTGTGTCTGCACAGATCTACTCAACTTACCCCTGAGAGTTGCCTTGCCTAGCACAGCTGCAATCACAAGGCATCAAAGTTATTATCTTACTACAGATCTTAGCAATTACCTGTATCATGGGAGCAATGGGTGATATTCCTACCCTGTAGCTCTGGACTTGAGCCTCCATGCATCTAAAGCTTCCTGAGCCTCCAGACTGTCCGAGTGTTGGTTTACACTGAGCTGTGAATGGAGGGAGCCAGTCACCTCCTCACACACTAAACTCAGCAACAAGGAATACCAGTCTGAATCAACAGACACAGCCCAAACATGGGCTAGGGTTTCTGGTCAAGGGCCAGGACCTTGTGGGCTGTTATGCCAGGCTCCATGCACAATGCAAAAGAGAGGATCCCAGCAGTGAAGCAGCCTGTAATGCCTTCTGTGCTGGTGAATCACACTATGCAGCAACATAGATCACATAAACAACTTCCTTCTCTGTGAGTACTCCTGCACATACTAGATTAATGATGACACCTCACTGTGTCTGGGCTCAGGCACGTGCACACATTAATATGCTCAGGTGTACACAGGCACTTCAGCAGCCAGTTCTCAAAGGAATCAGTGTAGATACATAGATGCATCTATGCATATGCACATGACATATGTACGTGTATATCTGCATAACTGCATCCCTTCTGATGAAGCTACACCACCTTGCAGCAGTGACAGGGCCAACTCCTTTCTACATCCAGAGGTGCTCTGCTCCTGCAAATACTGGGGAAAGAGAGTGCATTTCAGATTTCTTTAACTGTGCCTTTGCAACATATTCTCACAGCAAGGATGCATGAACAGCTGAACAACTCCTGATGTAAAGTCTAACAATTAGGGAGACAAGAAAGAAGTTGGAGGGGAGAGCAGATACTAATAAAAGTTATGGACAACTAGCTGAAAAAAAGCTCTGAACAAGCAAGAAATGAGTGTGTTGAGTAAGTTAGAACAGGACAGAGGTAATTCTAAGGTAATCTTTGCTTTTAGGAATTGTAGGCATGGTACACCTACAAAAAGTCTGATCAGATTTCAGATCTCATTAAATTCTCAGCTCCTTTCTGCCTTGGGGAAATACGAACATCAATAAATTGGATTATGTTTTGAATGTGCCCTTTATAGTCACAGGCTTCTTTAGGTTGGAAGGTACCTGTAAGATCATGGAGTCTGTTAACCCAGTACTACCAAGTTCACCACTTAACTATGTCCCCAAGAGCCACACACACATCTTTTAAATACCCCCAAGGTGGTGACTTCAACACTTCCCTGGGCAGCTTGGCCCACTGCATGACAAGCTTTTTGGTGGAGAAATTTTTCCTAATATGCAATCTAAACCCTTCCTGTCACCATTTCCTCTTATCCTACCATTTGTTCCTTAGGAGAACAAGCCAACCCCCACCTGGCCACAGCCTCCTTTCAGGCAGCTGTAGAGAGTGATAAGGTCACCCCTGAGCCTCCTTTTCTCCAGGATAAACACCCCCAGCTCCCTCAGCTGCTCCTCACAGCACTTGTGCCCCAGCCCCTGCCCCAGCTCCATTGCCCTTCTCTGGACTCTCTCCAGCCCCTCAGTGCCTTTCCTGCAGTGAGGGCCCAGAGCTGGACCCAGCACTGGAGGTGAGGCCTCAGCAGTGCCCAGCACAGGGGGACAATCCCTGCCCTGGCCCTGCTGGCCACAGCATTGCTGATCCAGGCCAGGATGCCACTGGCCTTCTTGGCCACCTGGGCACAGCCTGGCTCATGTTCAGCTGCTCTCACCAGCACCCCCGGGTCCTTTTCCATGGGGCAGCTTTCCAGCCACTCTGTCCAAGGCTGTAGTGCTGCCTGGGGTAGCCTGCCCAGAGAAGCTGACTTTAGTCATGGGGTAGATTGTGGTGGTGCATCCCACCCTCCCTCACCAACCACACTATAAGCTGAGAAATGCTCATTAGTCCTAGGCCTTGGCAAACAGCACCTGGGCAGAACTCTTGATTTTTTCAGACCACTGTCTGCTCCCAGGAATTAGTGCTGTCTAATAAGTACCTGTATAAGTATTTCATTAACAACTGACTTGGAAACTTATTTTTCTTGCCTGAATAACAACCCAAGTGGAATAATACTTTTGTGGTTGAACATTCAAAGGGAGTTACCGACTCAAACTGTGGCATAGAAAAATACTATGACTAAAGCCCACTCTCTTATGACCCTATAAACAGCAGTCCAAAGTGAGACCTATTCTATATGAATATGAAAATCTAAAATGTATAAATGACGCATTTAGTAAAAATCAATAAAATAAATTTACACATTTTCTCAGTTTTAATTTTTTAATGGTTCACATTGTTAGTTTGAAAGACACATTGCGAAAGTCAGAAAGAGTACAACTCTCCATGCAAAATAAACAAGTACAAGAAGCTTTCTTTCCAAAGCATGTGCAAAAGGCAGCCTTCCTTTCTGGAATGTATTGAGCCCACTTCTAGCATTTTGCTTTTTCTGAAAAAATAATGGGGAAGGGAAGCAGAAAAATAAGGAGAGAAAAGCAGCATATCAATAGGGAAGAAAATAAAGTGGGATAAATAAGAAGGATATACTTACCCTCTAGAACCTAAGAATTTTTACAAGGATAACCTAGCCAAGCCACCCAGCAAGAACCTTCCCTCTCTAATGATTCCTTAAAGGTTGCATTATTTTCACTTTTCACCTGTCTCAAACACGCAACTCAGAATATGCAGCTTTCATGTAGCTGCTAAACAATTCCTAGAAAGGCCCAAAATATCTCTGCATGTGTTTATTTTTAGATATTGTGATATTAAAACAAACACTGAGATTTAAGGGAAAAAATTTCTGTGATGGAATCAGTGAGCTCTGAGCCCGGGGAGACAACAACATCACTGTGAGTGACAAGTGTAGAACCAACTGAAGAAGCAGGAAAAAAGCACTGACCTAACCAAAGCTTTGTCCTAATTTCAGAGTATGACTCACCTAAGTGAGCAAGGGCTTATAAGAGCAAACATATATGCATTTCATCTTGGAGCACTGTGGCTGAGAAAGTGATCCAACAAACAGGAGAGGTGGAAATCAGTGTTGCTGGCTAAGGAACGTTTGCAGAAATTGTTTTCCCATCCTTTCTTGGCAACTAGAGGAACATTGTTCTGAGTTAAAGCAGCTTCCAAACTACAGAAAAAGACCCTAAATGCAAAACTTTACACTGTTTTCACCAAAACAATGCAAGTAATAGCCACGGCATCCAGGGAAAGGCTCAGCCTCCTCATTCATGCTTACAATATATTTTCCATTCTTCCACTCCTCTTCCTGTACAGAAAGGAAATGCTTTCTAATCCTATTCACATTTGTCTCTCGTTTTTCTATCCCCAGAACTCCTGTATCTTTTTTTACCCTGAAATAAATCTGTAGTTGTGCAAACTACAATCTTGTGTAAACAAGACTGATAACATCAAGTCTCTAAATGCTGTAAAAATAGCTCAAAGTCTTAAAATTGCCATATACCCCATATGTGTCAAACTGAACATTCCCTTCTAATACAATTAATTTGACTCTCTATCTTTTTAAACCTGTTATTTAGCAGAGCATTTCACTAAGAGGTTTACAATAATGGCCTCTTTCTTGTTAAAAAATTAGTGTGATCGAGTGTTTTACTGCTTAATTGCTGATCAGTAAAATGAAAACTGTAATTAGATTTATGATTAACAAAACAAATGACAAAAGTTATATCCTTCATGTAGAAATACCTAATCCTAAATCAATTACCAGAGAATATCTGAGAAGATTTTACAGACTTAGTGTTTTTTCATTACCTCCCTGAAAAATAACTTCCTAACTCAATGCTTATTCTAACACAATGTGACATAGTTGATATTTTTTTCAGTTCAAAATATCAAAACCTCAGCAGGGAAACACAGTTTTAAATTGAAACAAATTAGAAGGACAGAGCAAGAAGATAAAACTGCTTATTGAAGGATAACTTCTTAAGTTTTGTTTCTCCCGTTTGTTTTCAGAAAACAAACAGTAGAAACAAAAACAGTAGAAACAAAATGCTGAGGTCTATGAAAACCATGAGAAAGGAAAGGAAGCAACATAGCAAGCATAACACATTTTCCAAAATGCAGGTAACATAGCAAATATACTCTCATTAAAGACAAGAAACTATAAGCCAAAGTATTAATTCAGGAGTCAGGATACAAAAAGACAACTCCTGAAATGTAGAAAATATTTGTAAAACAAGAGGAACACGATATATAAAACCAGATGAAAAACAATCAAGGGAAATAAGAACAGGAAAGTAGCTCTGCTCCATGCAACTGAAGGAAGGATTTGGCAGATTCTGACTCTGTTCAAGTCTGTCCATGTTTCCCCATCAGAACTGAGCCTTGGGAACTGGTTGTGTGGGGAGCAAGAGATGAGCTGCTTGTACTGCTGGATGCTCCTGAAGCAAATATCAGTTTGTTTTAGCAGGTTGAAACAGGAGAACTAAGAAGAAATAACAAAAGCTATTTCTTTTGTCTCACTACTGGCATATCTGGTAAAACAAACAAACCAAAACAAACCAACAAATACCTCAAACATCCACACTGAAAGTGAACTCTGACGCGCACACGCACAGCATAACAAATTAATTCACAACTATTTGAAGGAAGAGGGTGCTCCCATCCAAATTACCCGAGCTCAGCCACCTCAGAACATGTGCCTGCCTGTGAGCAGCAGTGCCCAGGGATAGCTCACAGGAGGATTTTACAACGGAGCTCTCTCACACTACTGACCTTTGGCCAGCCTGAACACGTCCACTGTTATGTAGGACTGTGCCAGAACATTTGGTTGAAAAGGAGGTAAGGCACCTGACTGAATACTGGGCTCTGGCAAGCTCTCAGAAACAAGAAATTCCCTGGTTTTAACTGAATTTTTAAGATACGGATTGAACAGTGTTTTTGCACTGAAATCTTCCAGCCTTAAAACTTCCTCATCGTCATTTTCTTCATTTTTAATTGGATTCTGCTGGGATCCACACAAATCACTTGCCACTTCTGTGGGCTGGACTTCCTTCCCTGGTATCAAAGCTGAATGCATTTGACTTCTGGTAAATTGATCAGTAATTATATAAGGCATGGATGGGGAAAAACTTTTAGCAGCTTCATTCTCTTCATTATGCAGTATCTTTTCATGTCTGTTAATTATGCCTTTTGTATTAATACCAGTACATTCAGAAACATGGTTTTCATAATTTATTAGTAGGGATCCTTCCTGACTTTCTTCAGGAAAACAGTATTCCAAAACATTTATTTCTTCAAAGTCTACAGTTTTGGTCTGAGATGACATTCTCTTCAAAAATGAATTATTCTGTCAATACAAAGAGATAAATTGGAGAGTTATAAAGGGATAGATCATTTATCAGTTCATTTTTCAACAAATAAATTATTGCTATTTGAGCTCTGTTTAACTCAAAATTTCAGACTTGCACCAGTAAAGAGTTTGGATGCTTTTCAGATGGGAAGCAGTTACATGTGAACGAGTACTAAAAAAGACAATGTCATTCTGTCCATTTACAAAATGCTTTCATATTAGGTTTTCTGTATGTAATGAAATAATGAATTTCAGTGAAGGCTCAGAATCAGGTTTGAATTGTGTCCATGTTTTCTTGTCTAACCAGACATTTTTTGGAAAAAAGTTTAAATCCCATTATCTACAATTTACACTTTCTGTGCAAACCTGGTCAACTCCACTCCATTCAAATAAACATTGAAACTTTAATAAGGAATAAATATTCAAAAAATAAAAAGACAGAACTGTTAGTACAACTATATACCAAATCTTACTAAATGTTGCAGTACTGTTTTTGTGGAGAAGAAAGGAGGTATGCAGATGTGGAAACCTAATTTAATAGACTCAATAGCCTGTGCAAATTTAATTTACTTCATTAAATGAACCATAGCCACCAGCCACTTTGTCACTTCAAAACATTACTTCCCAATATCATATAAGAATTAGACTAATACACTTTATGAAGATGCATCTTCCCTATTATTTTGGAATACTACAAAGAGCATTTTGTAGCACTTAAGAAGAAGAAGGAAACTCAATTAAGGGGTGGGGGGGTGGTTAATTAATGAAATGACTGCCAGAAAAGGATTTATTTTCCCTCCATTTGATCCCTTCTTTAATGCATAAAATTCCAACTACTACCACAGATGAAGGAAGAGGCCATTCCACTGCAAGACTTTCTTCAGGATTTGGTATATCAGGCCAGCAAACCTTTTTAAACCTATAGTTGAGAAAGGAATTTTAGCCAAATTATGAAATAAGTAGATTATTAAAAATTAACAAATCACCAGAAATTCCAAAAACTGCTGAAGTATCAAACATTCAGAAAGGAAATGTTTTCTATATCAACACAATGCTTTTCAATAAAATTGTTTCCCCATACACTGGTTTTTATTACAAAAGATCTCAACAAGATCTCTTGAGTTGCAGAGACATTGCAGAAAAGCCATTTTATATTATATAATATATTATGTTTTATTATATTATATTACTCAATTAAATAGTATATGAAATAAGAGCATGCCAAAATATGACAGTATACAAATTCTATCATTTTTCAGGGTGTTTCTTCAGTGAAAATCCACCTCAGGTGAATTTGTTCAAGGAAAGTGACCCTAGCACTATATCACATTAGAACTACACTGAGTTCCTAAATTAGCAGATAAAGGATGCTCACTCATTTAATCACTCACTGACACTGGGTAGAGAGGCAAGGGAATGAAAACCAGTCCTTAGCTTGACTTTTCTCATGGCAATTTTATCTACACAAGAATATAAACATTCTACTGCATCTGAAGTATTCTTCAGAAAAAAAAATAGTTTTTGCTATTGTAAAAATTCATTATACTCAACACAGATGAAGATGTAAAAGGGATGGATATTATTTCTTCAGTTGTACTTACTACCTGATGCTTCTCCACTTGACAACAGTATTGGTTCCAGTAGCTTAGAATGCCCCAAAATAGTTCAGATTTTTAACCTTCTCATCAGCCAAACAACACAGTCACTTTTCTTGTGAAAATATTTTATAACCTTAAAAACACCCTCACAGTCATCTTTGGAATGTTACTGGATCCCCATGCCCAGAGAAAAAAAAAAATTAAGTCTATCAGGGGACATCTGTGACAGCAGATGAAAGGATTATTAATCATGTGCAGATACGGATCCATACTCAAGGATCAAGCCTCCAAATGTTTCCACAGAATGTAATTTCTAGGTTTTTCCTCATTCCTTTGCAGCTCAAGAGAAGCATCATAAACTAGTAAGAGTCATAGTTATAGGTAAGATAAGCAACAGGGGCTATGTCCTAGTACACTCCTAGCATATTAAAAGTGTCTAGAAAGCTTTATTTCCTGGAATTATTAATATTTCAGAAACTGACTTTAAGCTTACTCCCCTTACTTAAATGGGGACCATGGAACTGCAAATGGCATGTATTAATTAATTATAAACTGATGTAGGTGATATGTAAATCTGTTTCTCTCATTTATTTTGTTTCAATTTACTAAACTTTCTAAAATTAATACTTCTTTTTGGATTACAGCACATAAACTGTAGTCGAAGTATAACCTGCACACTTACTTATTTGCTAGTTCAATTGCTTGTTTTCTATTTAGACATTGGTTTTGAACACAACAAAGGCCTTTATAAAATAAGTAAAAATCCCCATTTTACAGGTAATTTTAAATGGTTGCATTCAGTTTTAGCCAGTAGGAAATATACTCACACGTGTTTTTTCAAAACGCACGTTATCCAAAGGCCTATCAGACACAAAATGCTTATCTCAACAGGTAAAGCAATAAAAAAGATATCTTCTTTATCTTTGGACAAAAACAAAGAAATAAAAACCAAAACACCAATTAGTCCACATTGTTGTTTCTTCAGGTATTCCCTAAGACAGCTAATTTTTAATATCCAAGTCATTTAATTAGCACAATTCTAAAGAGCTCTGTAAAAATAGCCAAAATTATTCAGAATAAATATGTAGGATACCCATTCTATGATGAGTCAAAAGATGAGTATTTGGAATCCAACAAGCCACAGTTACTGAGCCAAAAATCCAGTTATGATGAGACTTTTCAGGATGTTTTAGGAACAACTTTATCGCATTTTAAAATTTCCTTTAATTAACAGAATCAAACAATAATTTAGATTGGAGGGGATATCTGTAGATCACTTCATGCAACTTTAAACCTAGATCAGGCTGCTTATGTCATACCATGCCAACCTTTGGAAGCAACCTAGAATGAAGGCTCTACCACCACTTGATCATCTATTATTTTACGTTCACCGAAATCTGCTGGTCCATGCCACTTCTACCAGTTACAAAAAGATAAATAGTGAATTGAGTGCAGGAGATAGATTTTAAACTACAAAAAAAATAGGGTTACTCTGGCTGAAACACTGCTCAGATTTATGAGCTAATTTCAGAGTACCAGAGGCATTTAGGAATATACTGAGAACATTCTTCCTGAAGTTGAAATGAGGAAATTTCATTCTGATCTGTTTCATTATACCTTGTCAAATCTGGCTAAAACAAATAGTCAAAGATAGGAAAAGGTATTTCCCTACACACTCACTGGCCACAACCTCTGCATTAATTTTCCAGTTAAGCTTCTATACCAGAACAGGTGAATCACAATGTGTGGTTTTTGTAAATCTCTCAGATAGAAAAGTCTACTTTGTAATGGATTGTTAGGCCTCCCATCCCATAGCTGATAGCATACACACTGCTGCTTCCACAAATAACCATAGTACTCCATTGCTTTACTGACAAGGAAATAAAGATTTTTGGGGTTGACTTCTAATTCTGAGGGTTTTTTAGTCTGTGAGATTGTCAGTGAAATTAAGTTAAATTCAACTACCAATTTGCCAGTTCTTCCTTGTTTGGTCCAACACTACTTAAAAAACAAACAGAAGTTAACAAATGCCTAGAAAACAATGTCCTGTATTTCTTATTTCCAAGCCAATTTTTTAAAATAGAAATAAGTAACCTGGATTATTACTTACCCAGTTTTAAAGTCTTGAAGGTTTTTGGCTCTCCAATGGTTCCCCCAGCTTTGTTGCTTGCCATGATCTGAACAGTATATTGTGTATTAGCCTGTAAGGACTTCAGTCTGTATTGTAGAACATCAGAGTTCACTGTTTCATCTTTTTAGGAGATTTATGTAAACACACAAAAGTAGTGTTATATCAGGGAGCTGTACACTTATTTAGCAACTTCTGCAATAACAGATCACAAACTATTTTAAAGGTAACTTGAAATACAAAGCAGCCTTACTAATACTTTAAAAGATGAAACCTAAATTACTGAATATTTAATCAATACTACTTAAAAGTTTGAGGCAAAAACCTGAACCATTACGTATTTACTTTTAAAAATAAATACAAATATTTTTGCTAATATTAAAGATAGGTGAACTACATTCTCCTGCAGATTATCAATGAAAATTGATAATCTGAAGGAGAACATAGAAAAGAAAATGCTTTGAGAACTTTATTTCCTCAAAATAGTTGGCTCAGAAATTAAGAACTTCAAATAACTTCTGTAGCTTGTGAAATTCAACTATACTTCTACTACATGCAGTTAAGACACTGATCATCCAAAAGAATGTCATCCATCAGCACTGGGATACCACCCCAATAAAGTCAAAGGAAAGTCAAAATCAAAAGGAATTTTTTTCCAAGTTTCAAAATGCTTTTATGAATAGAACACTGTTTCCAGTGCATTCTCCAATATTGAAATTAATGTAATGTGCTTCACCTTTAAATTTTTTTAAGCAGGGCATAAAAAATCCTACTAACAGTACCAAATGCATCTTCATAAAAAATCCTACTAACAGTACCAAATATATCTTCATATAAGAAATTACAGGCACTAAAACATTTCCTGGTGCATAACATCAAAGGCAACTCATTTCCTCAGTCAGTTCTATTGAGAAACACCCAGGAAATAGTTATGCTGCAATATGTCCCAAGTTAAAATAAACTGAGTTTCTCTTAAGTCAAGGGTGGGAAAGTGAAGTTCTAGTGCTGGAAGGCCATTAGTGAAGTCACCTTGGCACACACTCCCACATCCTACTATTATCAAGAACACATGACATCAGAGAAGCCTCAAAAAACATCAGTACAGCATGTTTTGCCATTTAAATTTAACTCCCTTGCGTTGGTATTTACAACTAATTTTCTAAAGAAAATAATCTGAAGTCCTAAAAGGGACACAGCCTGCTTCACATTACGAGTAATATGGAGAAATACAGCTCTGTAACATGAGGCTCCATGCCTCACAGATGACCCCTGCACAAAGCAGTCAGCATTAAATTACACAGAAACCAACATAATAGGAAAAAATCTCAGAAGTAATTAGCTTTCACATTTAAAAATTACTGGGAATTGCCCTGGCCTGAACTGGATACCCATAAGAAACAAGCATCACAAGATTTGTAAGTCTGAAAACTTTGCAAAAGAGATTGTGTTAGGTGCCTGGTAACAATGACATCTGAAAAAGGAAGGAAAAAAACCAATTCTGAAGCACTGAATGATCCAACAGCTTTCTTCATAAACTATATAGGAAGAAAAGTTTAGGTCACCCAAACACTTTTCATGAAAGCTTCTGCTGACATTTAAACTAAAGGAATTTTGCACAGATACCATTACACTGCCAGATTGTATGGACACTATTCCTGCGGTAGAGATTAGGAGTATGCTCAAATTTATGCTATCAGCCTCCAGACCAGAAAAGCCACGGCAAGCACAGAAAATCAAACACATCTGAAGAAAAGGATCTAAAATGATGTCCATAGAAATTATTCCTTGACAGCTTATTTTACTGTTATTTCCAAATTTGCTTTTAATATAAAACTGACACTAAAAATACTTCAACAGAAAATTTCCACCATACTTTTCCAGAAACTGAAGGCATATCCTTCCGAGGACAATTATGAAACTTATAAATTCACTGAACCCTCATGATCTATGACTTCACACAGAATCTATGATTCTCCGATATATTTCAGCTCCTCTACTCCTGTCAAGACATTTTTCATTGACTTTAAAGGTGCATCAAGATAGAAGAGAGACTCAAAATTTCATAACCCTGTTTCAAAGTATTATTGTTTAATGTGTACTTACTCAATTCTTTTCCATCTTCAGGTTTATAAAATATTGTATAGTTAGTGATAAATCCATTTCTTTTAGCCTTTGAAATCTCATTCCACTTTACTGTAACTTCATTTTTCCCCAGAATGCCTGTATCAGCCACAGGTCCTTCTGATGGCTCTACAGAGAAGCATTATGAAATAGCAAAAGTAGTAAAATAATCAATAGTGTTATCTGCCTCTGTTATTTTACACATATCAGTAACATAAGAGAAAACATACACATGAGAAAATATGTAAATTTAGTGCTCTGACACAGTCCTTAACTTTTCTCACTCTCTTTAATGTAGAAATTCTTCTGATAAAACTTCCCCTCACCTATTATGGCATTTGCATAGTTTCAGGTGTTATTGTATTCAAATACTTAGATGTCATTAAAAGGCTTTATTGTTACAACATCAGGGAGAGTTCAAGAGAAAAAATCATCCCTTGTGCACTCCTGGGGGGAACTCAGGTGCAAGGCCACTGCCTTTGTAGGAGATCTCTGCCTGAGCTGGGATTCAAGTGGCATCTCCTGCACCCCAGCGTCCTCAGCCTTGCCCATCACACTGAACAAAGCCTTTCTGCTTACACAATATCATCTCACACACATTGTTCATAACTTTGTGGAGACTTTTTGAAGAAAGAGTTGTCCGTGATGCAGTTTTAAAACTTCCTTCCCATTCTCTAATAACCTTGAGTGTTGTAACAGCTACCTAAAAACAGGAAAGCACTCAAAACCCAGTTCTGACTGTGCCAGCAATTATCCCTGAAACAAAAAATACTCCATTCCCTCTCCCCAGTAATTAATGCTCTTAGTGGTGCATTGTACTATGTGTGCCTGCACATTTGCATAGACACATACACCAATCAACATTTTTACATGGAATCTTAAAATTACTGGTAAACTACATTCTCATAGCTGGTTGTATAAAACACTGAATTCACAATAAACCTCTACAAATGAAGAAACTTTACCCCTTCCTCTGCAAAACACTACTTCATCCAAAGCTTCTATCCAATTACAAGCGCCATGTCTTCTTAGCATTTTTTATGTGCAAGACTGCAAAAATTTTATTATAAAATCTAACAAAAAGTAGGCTTTTAAAAAGAGCCATTTCATTTTTTGAGTAGAATTTCCTCATATATCGACTGACAAATGTAATCAAGCATTAAAATCAAGGATAATTATATATCTAAATGAGGTTTTAAACATTGAAGAGATAGCTAGTTTAAAAAATTCTTTCATGTTCGTAGCTACACTTTTTCCAAATACTTTGTATACAATATGTAAACTTCACAAAAAATTAGTGGGTGCAAGCAGCAGTGTACCTGTATCACAAGATGAATACTGTCTTATAGATAAATTTTACTGCTGAACAGAACAGAAATTAGGAACCCTGAAACCTGGGGGTTTTTCCACCACCTTCATATTTTTTTCAAATAACAGTAGTACCACATCACTAAAAGATAATACATCCTGAGAAACAGACTACAACACACATTTCACAACATGATTACTTTAAAATACCTACTTTTTTCTTCAGCATAGATTTGTGTGTAAGATGGAGCTGCTACATTACTTCCATAAAGAGGATACACCAAGATGTTATAGCATATATATGGTTTAAAGTTTTCTATAAAGGAAAGAAAAGAATATTTACATACAATCTCTACGTGATATTACTACAATGAAAACAGACTAAATCACAAGGGAATTCTAAATATAGTGTTACTGACTATTTGCTTCTACTCTCTAGCAAGCACAATATGCGATTATTGATTTGAATGCTCATTACTAGCTTTAACACACTTTTTTCATAGCAGTATTTGTAAGAGCACATGGCTTCTGGATCATTTCTCACTAGAAATAGTTTGAATGGGTAATTATACTTCAGCATCATACAACTTCTCTATATGAATCCACTCACTCATCTCTAAACCCTCTATGGTTTTAGAGGAAGTCTCTATTTTCAAATAACCAGTATAAAATTTCACTTGAATGTAGCATTTGTAATTTCACATATATTGATGTTTACTGCTTTGCAAGAGACAACTTTGTCTCATGCATCAGATTAAAAAGCAGTGGGGTCCCCCAGTCTTAACACTCAGGACCTGAGGGAATGACAAGTAACTGTGTCAGGGAGGCTTAGGTTGGATATTAATATAAAAGATTCTTCACCCAGAGGGTGTTTGGGCACTGGAACTGGCTCCCCAGGGAAGTGGCCACAGCACCAAGCCTGCTGAAGTTCCAGAAGGGTTTGGACAATGCTCTCAGATACATGGTGTGATTTTTGGGGTCTCCCATGCAAGGCCAAGAGTTGGACTTCAGTGATTCTTCTGGGCCACTTACAACACAGAATATTCTATTCTTATTTCTACACTGATGTTCTAGTCATGCTAACTGCAGATCTTCTGACTAGCCTGACTCAAGGGTACAGTTGTTGCAAGTGAGATCTCTACAGTAGAATTTTATGTTTCAAGACATAGTTCCAGCTTCTGGAAATGAAGTTTTGAACTCTGAACAATCCAGGAGTACCCTGTAATCAATCCAAGTACCCGCTACTTACAACAACCCCAAGTAATCAGCCAGGTGTACCCACTACGTACAACAGCTCCCATCAACTCTGAGAGGACATATCTGTAGCTTTACATCCCCTGGCATGAAACCAGTGTAAAGGGATTTCTAGATCATTCCTCTCAAGCTCTGCAGCTTGCTAAGCAAAAATAATGGCTATCAACAAATCCCTGCATGATATCAGCTTTCTGCTGCTCTTTCAGTCTATTACACCTATTGCAATGGCCATTACATATACATTACCCCAGCTGGTTTTAGCTAGGGTAGAGTTGGTTTTCTTCCTAGTAGCGGGCATGGGGCTGTGCTTTGGATTTGTGCTGAACACAGGGCTGACAATACAGAGATGTTTTTGTTATTGCTGAGCAGAGCTCACACAGAGCCAAGGCCTTTTCTGCTTCTCCTGCTGCCATGGGGGTCTGGGAGGGGACTGGGGGTGCCTGGGGGGCTGGGAGGAGATACAGCCAGGACAGGTGACCCCAGCTGAGCAAAGGGATGTTCCAGACCAGGTGGCACTATGCTCACTATGTAAAGTGGAGGAAGAAGGAAGAAGGGAGGATATTTGGAGTGAGGAGTTTGTCTTCCCAAGTCACTGTTACATGCAATGGGGCCCTGCTGCCCTGGAGATGGCTGAACTCCTGTCTGCCCATGGGAAGCAGTGAACTCTTTGTTTTGCTTTGCTTGTGTGCAGGGCTTTTGTTTTCCCTATTAAACTATCTCCATCTCAACCCAAATGAGCTCCTGCTTTTACCCTGTTGATTCTCCCTGATCTCACTGGCAGGGCAGTGAGCGAGCAGCTGCCTGGGCTTGGCTGTTTGCTGGGGTTAAACCACAAGAGTCAAATCACTGACGTGATGACAGATTTGATTGGTATGTACTAGACTGAACTCAGAGATGTTAGTGCTGTCCAGCTAGTGATAAGCAGGCTCCTGCACTTGCCACGGGGGTCGTTTGCCCAACCTGGTATTAGAGTCTAGTTAGATTTTGTTTTTTCTGCTTGCTGTAGTGCTGCACTACTTAACACATTACTGATTTGTGCCTGAGAACATTTTGATAACAGCCATGGGGATGTGCCAGGGCAGTGCTGCTGTTTCTGTGCTGATGTAGTGGACAGGCTGGAACTCCAGTGTGAACTTGAGCTGAAGTGTGATGTGTGATGGTATCCACAAGAGAGCCTGCAGCCTGTGGAGGACTCCACACTGGAGCAGGTGGATGCCTGAAGGAGAATGTGACCTCACAGGGGAGCCATACTGGAGCAGTCTGAGGGTAACTGCAGCCAGTGGGAAGGACCCATGTCAGAGAAGTTCAGTAAGGACGTCTGCCATAGGTGGGAACCTATACTGGAGTAGAGAATTTAAAGATTCCTCTGCAACCTGTGGCAAAGATCATGGTGAAGCAGGCTGTCCCCCTGCAGCCTATGGAGGACGATGTAGGATGTTCTCTCTCTAAAACACATGAAAGAGCATGAGCTTTTCCCCTATTCAATTTTTTTTTTTTTTTAACTGGAGATTTCTCTGATAGAAGAGTCAGTTGCAGGCCTCCTACTGGCATAAGATCAAGCCACAGAACTGCTTTAACATAAATTCTGTAGCCTAATCTTATATGAGAGCAAGCACTACCTTGGATGTTGCATGAAAATTTGTAAGACTAAAAAATGCTGTTACATTAGCAGCAGAGATTTAGTAAAGCATGTAATAACACTGTTATGTTTAAAAACAGTCTGAAGAAAGCTGACTGAGTTCATCCTTTCCAATCTACCTGTAAGTACATGTACATCTATACAATGTTACAGCTGTAACTGATAAACATACTTTTGTTATTTTTCCACTTTGTAGAATTTGATACATATTGCCATGATCTACCAAAAGGGTCCATCTCCAATTCCTCATACCACTCAACCACATATTTGGTTGTTTCTGGTTCAGAGGTTATCCACTGCACCACCACTTCTTCATTTGTTGTAGAGGTCTCCACTTTTTCAATCATCTGAGAGGCTAAAAATTTAACAGAAAATATCAGCAATTGTCTTCAGAAAAGCTTGAAAAAGATATACAGAATTCAAGAACGAGTCTCTCTTTCAGAATCCAAATTTTGCAGTGTGTAAAACTTTATAAACCAAATTACTACCAATTTTGCAGGTAGCTTATAAGTAACTTTGATTGAGATGACAAAGGCGATGGAACAGGAAAACAAGTCAGCAAGGTCAAGAATGACACTGAAGCAAATGTGAATTCTGCATCAGCCTGCAGAATAGAGGTAATGAGAGTCTAAGTGAAAATCCAACTTGGCAAAGCAGAGGCAAAAAAGACCTGATGAAGCAGAGAAGAAAAAGAGATGCATCTGGTGGGGGAAAGCACATCACAGCGTGGAAAAATCAGAAAAACCTTTGTGGTGGGATGCAAAAGTGGATAGGGAGGTAGTCAGCAACCTCTAGGACAAAATTACATTAAATCTACATATCCAGTTTTCTGATTAGAAACAGAATTTGATTGATTGAGTTCCAGGGGGACACTTGCACTTACATCATGAACAACTCTTGTTAGAAGTGATTCATGTGTGTCAAATACAACCTGTCTGTCAGGTCATGGCTGGCAGCAGAATGTTGCAACACAAGGCTCAAAGCAGTATCAGAATTAAACATAGGAGCCAAAGAGCAACTCTTGTGCTAGATCAGGCCAGCTTCCTAACCCTGGCAGTGGGTGGGATGGGTACTCTGGGAATGCATATGAAATGAGAATGAACACAAGGCTTCTCTCCCTGCTTCCACTAACACAGCTTAGAGACTTCTATTTATCATATCTTCGAATGATTGTTGAACACTCTGCAATAGTGCCCTGTGGTAATCAATCTTCTGAGCTAACAAAGGGATCCAAAAGAATTGGGTAGCATTTCATAAATTTATTTGGGAGGTGCAAGGTTAGAAAAAAACCTAAACCAACCAAAAAAACCCTAAGAAAGTAGTACAAGAGAAATTCAATAAGACATCACAAAGTATTCATATCTTAACAACTGTATCTCAAAACAAAACCCCCAACAATAATTGTCTGTAACAGAAATATGATACATGACAGCAAAATACAAGATACATATGTCAGAAGCCCTTAGCATAATTTTGCTTCACTGTATCAGAACTTAAGATATAATGAAAATCACTTTTTCATTAATGAGAAAAAGATGACATTGAAAAATCTTACATTTTTCATCAGAGGATGGAATCCTCAAAATAGCTTCAGGAGACTCTCCAGCAGAGTTATAAGCAGTGACAGATATTATATGTGCCTCTTCATTTAAAAGTAAGGTCATTTTCTGTTCAGTAGAATTGTTTGTCCTTTTATGTGCAGCCTTGTTTTCTGGAAAATACTGTATTTTGTAGCCTAGAATCCTCCCAGAAGGCGGAAAGCTTTTTAATGGCTATTAAAAAAATACACAGTAGTAAGTGTTTCGCAGTGTTATCTGCACAAGCAAAAATATATGCTATATTAAAGATTAAATTACAAAACTATTATACTGTATTTAGAAAAGCAAGGTATTTTCTTAAGGCCCATCTTCAGGACAGACAGCCACAACAATTTCCTTGATGGATTTCAAAAGTCAAATGCTGAGATTTGAAATATGAAGAGCCTTTGGACACTTTACTAGAAGATTAAAGTGAATTTAAACACAGCTTCAGTAAACTGGATTATTTAAATGCAGCTTAAGACTTTCAATGAGATTTTCCAGTGATCTGAACACAATTAAATGCTCCCTTTCCACACAGATTACAAAACTCCATTCATCTACCATTCAGTAAACAAAAGCCTTTTCAATTCTAATTTAGTTCAGTGAGCTTTTTTTTTCTGATAACATGAAATGCCTCTGGCAGTTATATGTCCTACTTAAACACAACATCAGCTACAGGATATCAATATGATTACCAATTCACAAAAAAATGTATGTACCTTCCACATAAGATGTACAGATCTATTTCTAGATGAGCGTGAAGACTCAATTACTCTCCACAAATCCACTTTTCCTGAAGGAGCTGTTTAAAGACAAAAAAAATCCACTTGCAATTTGTTGCTATATTAAAAAGATTGTTTAATATGGTGAAAACAATCAAAAGGTTTCTCTAATATGGTTAAAAAACTCAAAAGGTGTCAAACATAGAGTCTAAGAGAAACTTACTAAAAGTAAGTTTTATCTTTTGTAGTACAATGCCTTTTTTCCCCTAATTAGGTACTTCTTTTTTCTATAAGTTTCCTGCTGCTTGCTTTTATTTGTTCAGTTCTAGAGTCTCCCAGAAGAGACTTTCTAGTCTTGTTTTAAAACTGGAATTTTGATTTCTCTATTTATAATTTATTTCATTGAACACACATGCTGCACTACTTTTCTGCTATCTTATTTTGCTTTGTTAAATCTTCATGTACACTCTTAATTTTCCCTCTCTTCAGTGTCTACTCATCTGTTTTCTTCCTTAGTCCTATGTTGTTTGAATCACTTTTCAAATCTCCTCCAATACTTGCTGTTGTCGTTCAGTTTTCCTCTTCTGTCTTTAAACAAAATAAACATGTTCTGTTTAAGCAACAGGATTCTAAATTCAATAGAGGATAATAGGCTGTAACACAGTTTTTCCCTACTAAATCCTAATGCCTCCAAGTAATAGAAGAAAACTTCCACAGGTAGGCAGCTTACCATTTTCTTCTGTGCTTTCGCTTTTCTCTCCACTCCATCCACTCCAAAATGCTGACTCATTATTGACACACCGAATGGCAACAGAATAGTCTGTGGAGTCCCACAGACCTGTGAGATTACATGATCCTATATTCTTCTTAGAATTCAGTGAGACATTGACATATTCCTGGAAATAGGAACAAGAACAAAAATTATTTTATATAAAATTTAGTGCAGATATATGACTTATTTTCTTAAGGAAACACAGAAGATGCAGTTTTTGTGTATACCACCTCACTTCTCTGAAACTCAAAATTCCTTGTTTTAAACTTCATTTTTCTGTGTAGCACCTTTGTTCCTCCTGTAAAACTCCAGGGTTTGAAAAACTTGATCCCAAACCTGTGGCTTGAACAGGGTGCAGCTCACATGTGATTCTACAGCAACTGTGCACAGAAGCTGCTGGAGGAACGCAGTTCCCACTGGTGGGAAGCAAGTGGTTATTGCTAAAGCCATTACTACAATTATGTCCCACAGCAGCATCCTGGGGGAAGCAGTGATTCCCCCAGTGATTCCTCACAGTTTGAGTCAGCTGGGTACTTGTCTCCTGTCTTGTTCATCTTTTCTGAGTTACAAGGCCTTCTAGCTGTTAGCCATAAAACAGTGCAGCTGTGGGCTACCCCAAACATTATCAGCACAGGATTAAAAAGAAAAGGTAAATGAAAGGACAAAAAATTCTGGTACCAAGAGGTAAAAAATAAGATGAAGCCTGTTAGTGGTGAAGGAAGATGGGAGTGTAAGAAATAAATTATGTGTTATCTTTTCAGAAAAGTAATGACAATGCGAGTCATTTCTTTGTCTTGAAAGGAACCTCACTCACTTCAACACCCTCAACAGGGCTAAAACACAGTGAAGAAATTCTTGACTTCCATCAGTTGAACCTTCTAATCGAAAATTAGTCAGTCTATAACAATGCAGACTGTACTATAGAAACTACAAGAAATGCAGATACTCACTCATATGAACACCATAATGAGAAGTGCCTAATGTAACTGAAGATTTTAGTCTGTTCTGATCTCAAGAAACTCACTGTCAAAAAATACCTGCCTCTACAAGAGTGAATTCAGGGATCTCCAAACCACTGTAGGTGACAGATTCTGCAACAAATCTAAAATTAAAAAGGCTCCAAAATTATTATCAACCTCTGGCAGAACTGACATAGAATTGGAGACATGTTGTACTAGCTTTTAGTTACTTGCCAAAAGGCTGTTAACAATATTGCATTAAAATCAGAAACTTAGAAATTTAGTATATGCAAGAACAAAAACATGTCACATGTTTTTCACTCAGTAAAAACAGTTCACACCAAACTGTTTAGACTGGTTTGGTCAGATAACTTTAAAGGCCAAGAAGATATTTGTCATTTGTGCAAATATTTTTAGTTAGGTTTTTTGGGGGGGTGGTTTTGGGTTGGTTTTTTTTTTGCATATATGTGCCGACAAAGGCACATATGTCTTTTCTAGTCATGGATAGCTCCTGTTTCTTCTGAAATGTCTGTGTGAAAATGCAGGTGTGAGCTGAGGAAGCAAATGATAGGCTGTATTTGATACCAAAAAAAACAGACAGGTGATTTCTAATGCGGGTGCTGAAAACTAGACAAAATACACAATAAAGTTGTAGCCCTCCAAGGACTATGAGGTCCTTTCCAAATGTTGAAAACATAAGGACCTCATAGAATGTGTCACAAGGATGCCAGTGCATTGGTTCCAAAGAGATAAACATCTCAAATAGGTCTTAAACAATCGTTAGTTCCATTCCTAATACCCCAACTGGACCTGAGCCATCCTGCCCATCCAATCATCCTGAATCCTGAAGAACTAGTATGTTATATTTACAGTAATGATGCTTGAAAATGTGAGGATGCTAGTAAGAAACATCTTTAATATTATAAATGTTTTTAAAGCTCCGATGACTACTTTGATGAATTTTTCTCTCCCACAATTATACATGTGGTACATAAAATAGTAAGATCAAGGCAGACATCTCAGTTCAATGAACTTAAAAAAAAACAATCCAAGAAACTTGGCCAGTTCTTTAATTTGGAAGAAGAAGCAGTAAAACAACAAATACAATCCCTTCCATATTGAAGACCATAGGAATAGATAATCTGAATTATGCAAATACTGGGGGTTTTACAACCATTCCATTTAAGTGTCAGAAAGAAAAGAACTTCCCTTATTTTTCATCTTGCAAAATTTGTATTTTGTATTTGTATTTAACATCATTCCATATTAATCAGATTCAAATGCTGCAGTTTTAAGTGAGTGCTGTTTTCAACACCAGAATGCAAGGGAAAAACAAAATATTGTTACTGACTGCATGTGTAATCCCTTCGTGTAGGGTCATCCCTCATCCTTCCACAGTGTAATACTGAAAAGCACAATATGTATCAAAACAGATAATGACCAAAAGAAAAAGGACAATTAACCCTAGAAAACCAAACCATGTTCTTAAGATCATGCACCTCTGGTAATATTCCAGTAAAATAACAAGGTTATTATCATTATTTCAAACATTTGTTGCCTTTTTTCAACTTAAATTCTTATAATATTAAGAAGTTAGTCACAAAGAAACTGCCATGCAAAAGAAAAATGACGTAACTTACGGTAAAGTTTGAATACAAGTTTCTGTATTGAACCTGGCAAATAATCTGTTTTAAAGGGATAATCTTCTCAGGCATTTTCCAGGTTACTGTAAGTGACTGCTTTATACCAGGGATTTTTTTAACTGAAATTATTTCAGGAGGGGCAAATTTCTCTAGAATGAAGAAACAAGAACATTAATAGAGGAAAATGCTTCTATAAAAGTTCAGAATTTCTCTATCTGTTTGTGTTCCAAGAAGTTAAATCCTTATCCCAGTAACACACATGCTATTAGAGTATTCATGTGATGGTTTATTTTATAGACATAGTTCTACATATGGGAAATTATCTGTAAGAGAAATTGCACATTAACTGATTTAATTACATGGAATTTTGAACAACCTGGTCTAGTGGAAGGTGTCCCTGCCCACCCAAGCCTTTCTATGATTCTGTGATTCTATTCACAAACCTGCTCTCAAATAGATGTGCGGACATCTTTCATTTGTATCAGCACTGAAAAATATTACCCAGAGACAACAAATGAAGCAGAGCTGGGATGCCAAAGACAAGACTGAACTGCAGATGAGGAAAGAGTTCAGCTGGAAATTATCTGAGGGGCAGAGAAGTGTAAAGGAGACAATGGAAAAGAATGGACTAGCAATAGGAAAAGACATGTCTGGCATAGAGAGTGTAGAAAGTAATGAAGAGTCACAGTAGATCTGAACACGGAATAAAGGATGTGATTGATGATGAGTGCTGCAGCAAAAAGTATTCCATTATAAGGGTTACTGCTTAACTACACCACCAAAATGAACAGAGGAGAAGCACAGGACAGAGGGAGAAGAGGTAGACAAAATATTATTATTGCTCCTGTGTGCAATTATTACGGCACATAGAACAGATGGGTTATTTTTAACAGAAAGTGGAATTGCAGAGCATATGATGGGTGGCCCTTGAAAAATTATAATACCACTACCCATTGCAGCCAGGTGTTGCACTGATACTTGGTACCACGCAGAAATATTAAAGTAGAGTCCAAGTACCAATTAGTTTGACAAGAAGTTTTAATATATGGCCTTTACTTCTCAATAATTAAAAATTAGTAACTTATAATGGATATATCAGACATTAGCCTAAAGAAATATTGTTGCAGTTAGATGTTGCCTAGCATGGAAACAACACTCTGTCATTTCTCACCACCTCACAATAAGATCAAGAAACTGCTGTAAATTACTGCTGTAACACCAACCAATTGGAAGAATTTTACATGGAAAAGTCATAAATTAAATCCTTATTGATTCTTTTTTAATTACCTATTTTTTGCAAAGGTATAGGGACACACTCTGTTAAGGATGCACCCAAAACATTTTTAGCTTCCACTTGAAAACAAAAATCATTACTGTAATCATTGTCAGGATAAAAAAATGAACACGACTCTGTTCTAGTCAGGCAGGATCTAACCAAATCTGGAGAAGACATCCTAAAAAAGAAAAAAATATAAGCAGTTAGAAACTAAAGGATTTTCTTAGAATAATTCAAACAAATTGTTAGGCTATTATTTATATATCTTTGAGAATGTAAGACTTTTTTACCAGTGAACATTTTTAGATTACATGTTTGTGCAAATGAATACCCTTAGCTAATTTCCCTGTCCCCTTGTACCAGTGCTTTTGTAGTCACATGCTAGGGTGACTACTCAGCTAGGGAGACACTGGATTAAAACTTATGTTTAGATTTGGCTGGAAACAGTTCTGCAGTCCAATTCACTTTGTGGTTAATAAGAAGTCTGTGCTTATACAGGAAGGAATAATACTGAAATGTGCTTTCAATGGCTGTTTTAACTTCTGGCTTCACAAAAGCAGCTAAGTTATAAAAGATAGAAACACCAGAAGTAGTAAGAAAGTTCCACATTAAAAAGATGGAAGCTTAAAATGTCAAAGCTAAAATGGAGATAAAACTAAAAAGGTTTTGCTAATCTACCATTTAAATTACAAAGATGGTATACACTAGTACAATATGAAAAAGTACCCTCCAGAGTCTGAATTCATTGCCATTCTCAAGAATAACTTTAGGCATTTTAGAAATCTCTTCATGAAACAATATTACCTGGAGTCTTGGTTAGGCAGAAAAAGAGAGCATCATCAGAAGCAGCACTATAAAGGACAGACTGACAAGTGCATCTGGGACAAATCTGTACTATCACCTTCAAAATCCTACCTGAGATCTGCCTTGGAACAACACTGATTTCACCATTTTCACAGTCACTTGTGAAAAAGCAAGCTCCTAACCAACATTGAAAATCTAACTGAAATTGAAAGAACCAAGTATCTGTGCTTCTACACTGGAGAGCATGAGACCACATAATTTGTATTTATAAATAGAAATCCCCAAGCAATCCAAAAGGACAACTCTGGATTTTTTGACCAAAACCTTATGACTCCAAGGGTCACTAGAATAAATGCTACTGGAGTTAAGCAGAATACTGCAGTAAAGCAGTGGCTTAATGAATTTTGATGGGAATTTTTTAAAGCAGATGAGGAATCAATATTTTTTATGGCCCCAAAATTAGGTTAGTTCATTACATAGAAAGTTTCTGGGAAACTCTCCCATAAAATGCCTCCATTCACCATGGTCACTCAACTTTCAATTTTATTAGTAATGTTACTTCAAAGAACAATTGAATATCAGCTCTGAATATAAATATTTCTCTACTGAATATTGGTTGAGAATGCTTATTTCATTTATACAGCACACTACAAGAAGGAATCAGACTGCAAGTATTTTCAATAATTACCAACCCTGAATTAATCAATTAAAATTACTGACAAATGCTAAGACTCCAATCTCCATGATGATTTCAAGTTTTCATTAAACAGAAGTCAGGGAGAGACAGGAAGAGAACTGGTTGCCACACCCCAGCAACCCAGTGCCCAGTATATCTAGTACTTACAGTTTTCGGTAAAGAGTATAGTTCGTTGTAAGACTTGTTTCTCTTCCTGCATTCCAGGTACAGGTAAGGTTAACATCATAGAAATAAATGCAGGAAATATTTTCTGGCATGTCTGGACGAACTACAGTGACAAAGGTTAAAAAAGTCCAGTAAAATAAGTAACTTTATGCACACCTGATTCTGTTGGTCAAAAAGCAATTATGGCAAACATCATTCAGTGTCTTCATAGCGCTTCATTTTATCATCCTTCACTGCCCTTAGAACTCCTCACAATACAAAAATCAAAACTATTCTTTCTTACCCTGAGGAGACAGCAAGATTTTTCTCCAACTATTTCTCAGAAATACTTTACTAAGTGCGCCTAAAGGCAGTAATTCTAACTATCATATATCAAACCACTGCATACACTGTCTTGAACACTAAGTGTACACACTCTCCCCTCTGCAACACATGTGTAGTTTGAGGTGAGTCCAGAAAGTAAGAGGAATACAAAAAAACAGCAAAAGCACAAAAAAAAAAAAAAAAAGGACATTCTCTAACAGACAGAACTCCTTTTGCTTCTCTCCCAGAATATCTAATTTTTTACCCTATGAAAAACCCAAACCTGAGAAACATGCACAGCCTAAAGAGTGGAGAAGACAAGTTCCTGGGAAACAGATCTGTGTGACCCCGAAGAGATCACTAATTCTGGGCTCTCTTTATCTTATAAGCAAGATAGCACAAAGGAAACAATCTTCTGCAATCTCTATAGTCTGAAGTCATCCATAAAAATGTAACACCCTAAAAGACTTTCTTGTTACAGCTCAATTTCTTTACTGTTAGAAGAAATTGGAGTAGAAGAAAACTGTGTCGAGTGAAATCAACTGGTTGACAAAGCCCTCTTTTCAAAACAGTATTTTTCTGTCCCATCTAATGGAAATGTCAAAAGATCTTTTATCAACAAGTTTACAGCACATTAAGCTTTGCAGATATGCAAGACCTTTTGCTGGATATTTTTCTACAGATGTTTTGCTTTTATTGCTTCTTTATTAGAATGGGACCCCCCAGGCATATGTTATACTCTGGACTTAATCTGTTCAATAAATTAGAAAATTTGTATACATATTTTAATGTTCTGCATAAGAGAGTGGATTATAACTTCTTTAGAAGAGAGGATAGAGAGGAAATCCTCTCTGGGGAAAATTGAAGTTGGCTAGGCTAGAAAGAAGACATAACCAAAGGAACAGACCCACTACCTTTGGAACTCAACAGAAAACTTCAGCTAGGCAAAATTCAGGGTCAGAAAGGTTACAGACCTGTGTCAGTAAGGAATGCTGGTAATTTCATGCTTTATTAAAAAAAAAAAGTATGTGTGCATGAATATATATGTGTATATATATATATACATTGAATACACGTGTTTTAAAATAACACAACCAAAAGTAGCTGTTTTAGAAGTAAAATTATTATACTAAGTTGTTAAAAAGAGTTAAGATTATTTTTTCTGCCTTTTACTTACAGCCAGATTTAACTTCTGTGCGAACCAAAGGTATTTCCTTGTTTGAGTACTTCATTAAACATTCCACATAAGCTGTGCTGTAAGTGAAATTATGGATGGTTATATTAGATACAGTCTTATTCACAATGTTATAGTTTTCTGGAGCAATCAATTCATCATTCAATTTCCAAATGATGTGGCTTGCATTTCTCTGTGGAATGTAGTTCTTTCTAAGAACACAGGATAGTTTCAGGGAGGATCCTCTTTCAATTTCAGGAGATGAAGGAAAAATGTCAGCATCTCTGATGGAGTTTTCATCTAAAAACAAAATCAAAGACATCACATAGCCATACTCCTCTTAAAATACTAGTGGAAAAATAGTAAGTTGTTTTGTTGTCTACAGATAATTAAATTAATTTTTTTCATATAGAATTCAAATAAAATGCCCAGTTAGTCATTCAAATCAGACATTCCTGTTTGAAAATGCAGTTCACATTAATTACTGTATTACAGTAGGTTAAATAGGTTTTACATTAGAGTGATGTTTCAACAACTTCACAGAAATAATGAGGAAGTTTCCATCCAGATTCTTTTTTAATAGCCCTAAATGAAGAAAAGAAAGTCTTGGACTTCAAGCCTGTTTTTATAAAACATTCCTATCTGTAAAAGCTATGCATGCAATTTACATGCATAGCTTGTAAATTTTATCATGATACTTGCAATATCCAAAAATACATTAAACTAGTAAGACTAACATTTACAACTAAGCTGCAATATATTTCAGAACTCTTCAAAATTTCATTTGGAGAATGTTATCTTTTGGAAAAAATTCTTATGGCAAGACAGGTGCTAATAATCCAGAAACATACCTGCTACAGAGCTGCAGAGCAGGACAAACATCCAAATCAAATTGCTGAACATGTCCTTCTCAGTAAGTATGGGCAGAAAACGCTGTCATAAAATAAAAAATTTAAATGATTTTTTTTATTTTTAAAAGTAAAGTGAAGATGCCCTTTTAAAACTTTGTTAGCATTTGTGTCAGAGTTAATAGTGTTATTCAGATTTTCTCACTTGTATTCAAGTGAAGTATTGTTTTGTCTAAGTGTTACTTTCCTGAACAATGGAGAAATTTGATGCGGTTTTACTAAGACAAGTTGCACACATTTACGATAAAAAATAGAAAGATAAGCGTACCTAAAACACGGCTGAGGGCAATCCAATCCACAACCTTCCAAAGATCATGCAAGTAACTGGTAAGAAATGTATTCACTTGACATTCAGCCTGCCTAGTTCTTTTCTAAGCAGATTCATCCAGCAAATTCTTTTGAAAATGAAGGCTCCTACAGGAGAAGGAATGATCTGCCTATCTTGTTCATCACCACCTAGTAAAGAAATTGTTCAGGAAGTGGACATCAGTCCAGGTCACCTTTCACCCAAAAGAGGGTGAATTCATACTGTTTTTTTCCCAGTTTTGCCCTGGCAGCAGACCTGAGTGTACTCTGCAAAGACAAAGAAAAGCACCTCTCTTTGCCTTTCTTTTTGAAGAAAAGAACTACTGAACTACTGTGCAGACAAAAAACTCAGACTCCAGGTTAAGAAGGAAGAAAGCAAAGTAGTAGACTGATTTCTTCTGAAAGGACAGATGAATCTAGGCTTCCGTACCAAAAAAAAAATTTACAAAAATCAAACACTCTCCTTGCCTTGAGTGGTGCTATCAGCACTTACAGAATCACAGAATATTTGTTTGGAAGGGACACCTACAGACCATCTGATTCAAACTTACAAAGGGCCTCCCACAGCCAGTTCCCCAGGACTGTGTCCAGACAGCTTCTGAAGATCTCCTTTAATGGAAAGTCCACAAACTCCCTGGGTAACCTGCTCCACTACTCATTCCTCTCATAGCAAAAATAGTATTTCCTGATGCTCAGAAGAAACCTCCTGTGTTTGAGGTTGTGTCCACTGCCTCTGGTCCTATCACTGGGAGGATTCTGGCTCTTTGGTACTGCTGAGACTCCTCTGAGCTTTCTCTTCCCCAGGCTGAATAGTTCCAGCTTCCATATGGCAGATGCTCCAGTACATTAACCATCACTGAGGCCGTTCCCTGAATTCTCTCTGGTATGTCCATGTCTCTCTTGCCATCAGGAGTCCAGAACCAGGACTAAATACTCCAAGTGTGGGCTCAGCAGTGCTGAACAGAGGGACAGGATCACCTCATTGATCTGCTGGCTGCAGTCCTAACACAGCCCAGGAAACCAGCATTCTTTGTCACAAGGGCACATTGCTGGCTCATGCTCTACTGGGTGTGGGGGACCACCAGAGTATTTTCTGCAAAGCTGGCTGGTGGAGACCTGGCCAGGCTCCTGTGCTGCTGTCCGGATGTGTACCTCCCCAGATGAAGGATTTGGCACTTCTCCTTATTGAAGTTCCTGCCAGCCCATTTCTCCAGCTTGCCAAGGTCTCTGTGGACAGCAGCTCAACCCTCTGGCTTATTACTCACCCCTTCCAGTTTTGTGTTATCAGCAAACTCACTGAAGGCGGGCTCGGCCAGCATTCTAATCCAGAACATGCTGAACAGGACTGGATCCAGTATTGCCCACTGGGGTAAATCACCAGTGACTGGCCCCCAGATTGACTTCACCACTGATCACCACCCTCTGGGTCCATCTATTAAGCCAGTTTTCAATTCACTTCACTGCTCACCCAGTCTACGCTTCATCAACTTGTCTGTAAGAACCTATCTGTAGAGTGGCCCAACTCCACCATGAATGGCCACCCACACTACTCCTTTGGCTAGTAAGTAGAAGATCTGCCTGTAGAAAACAGAGGTGTCAGATCCCCTTAACCACACAAGGGCCTAGAGCCCAGTATTCCTATTTCCTGGACAAGTAGCTCTAGTTACCATGCTCATAAGCAACAGGTGGGCATTAGTATTTTGCAGCTAGTTGGGGTCCATGTTTCACATTAGGTTTTCAGATTTGTCTGGAATTTCAGCTCTCCATCAAACCTGTGTCTCAGGAAGGCTCCAGGTGGGAGGCAAGTACTATCTCCCTAGAACAAGCACATCAGTAGCTTTCAGTCCCGACAAAGTATCTCCTCCTCCCACAGGTTCAGATAATGCCACAAAGCAGGTGTGCACCAGGTCACTGGACAGAGATCTAAGTGGGATATAGGCAGTAGGGGTTATGCCCTATGCTATGGTTCTTTCCACAAAAACTTCTTGGATTTGCTAAAAACTTAAACTTTACAGTAATCTAAATTAGAAAAACATGGTAAAAAACAATGCATTAAGCTCAGTTTCTGTCAGAAATCAACTTAAATATTATTTTAAGTTTGTTTGGGAAGCACTTTATAAACTTTAGGGCTATGACAGTAAAAAACAGGAGGAAAAAAAAAGAAAAGCACATGTGGGATACAAAGAAAAATGCAGAGGAGTTTGTCCAGTGACATATTCCTAAAATACAGCAGTAGCAAGATGTGTACCAACAAGAAATGAAGCCAGTCCATAAAGTGGTCCATTATCATTTATTCCCCATAATAAGAGATAAAGCGTCTGCTGATATCCTACATGCAGATATCCTATTTTTGAGGGGATATGAGACAGAAGAGGCTGCATTTCAGACAAAATAGTCCAGTTCTTTCCAAGAATTAAGCAAACACATTTTTATCAGATTCCTTTAACTAGCTCCAGCAATTCCATTCTTTCTTAGAAAGGAGATGGAATTCAGAAGCATTGGCAAATCATAAAAAAATTTTTGAATAATGCTTCAGCTGAAAATACCACATGACATATCCCATCACAGTGGAGCACAGAACTGCACGAACAGGCATGACCAAGCTGGCTGCAATGCCAAGTTAGAAGCCTTTGAAAAATTTTAGTATCCCATGCACACCAGAAAGCTTAAATAGTTGAAGATTCCCTCCAGACTCAGTGCTCCTCATCCTGTATTCATTCTGTACCTTTTCCCCCTCTTCTAGTTCTTCTCTAGTACTCAGCCATACAATAAGTCACTTCCACTCACCAAAACAGCAGAAGGCTAAGAAAAAAAAGTATTTGTACTACATTAGCAAATGTAAGGCATCCGAGTTGGTGAAACAGAGGAGATAACTGGGGAGAGAGACGTCCATGACTTTTCCCAGATGTGAGCTAGTTATTTGGTTCAGTCCTCCTGCTTCTACTTTGTCCAGTATCAATTAGCAGCTGTTTATTTGGCATGGCAGCTGGTAGTTACTACTTGCCAGAAACCAAGGTAGTGACTTGGTAGGTTACAATGCTGCTCAAATCTTACGCACCTGTCAGGACACTGATAAATGATATGTGACAAAAAAGCTCTTTGGCTGTTTACTGAAGAGGTTGTATATGTGATCAAAGTGATCAAAGAACGTGCCTGAGTAAAAATTACACCCTATGTGGTGGTGTATACATAATTTTCAAAAATTATGTATAGTGCTTTAGGAGCTTCTTCTGCCATCTCCCTCAGGACCCACAGATGAATCTTATTGGATCCCATGGTTTTGTGCACATTCAGGTTCCTTAGATGGTCTCAGACTTGATCCTCTCCTACAGTGTGTTTAGGGTCTTCGTTCTCCCAGTCTCTGCAATTGCCTCTCTTGACTTAATTGACATGGCTGGAACTCTGCTGTATAAGACTGAGGCACAGAGGTTGTTGAGAACCTCAGCCTTCTCTTTGCCCACGGTATCCATGTCTCCCATTTCCTTTTGAAGAGGGCCTAACCTTTCTCTTCCTTGCAACATATCCATGGACACAAGGTGTACAGTGCCCAGCACAGGGGGACAATCCCTGCCCTGGCCCTGCTGGCCACAGCATTGCTGATCCAGGCCAGGATGCCATTGGCCTTCTTGGCCACCTGGGCACAGCCTGCCTCATGTTCAGCTGCTCTCACCAGCACCCCCAGGTCCTTTCCAGCCACTCTGCCCCAGCCTGTGGCACTGCCTGGGGCTGTTGTGACCCAAGGGCAGGACCTGGCACTTGGCCTTGTTGAACCTCACACCATTGGCCTCAGCCCATGATCCAGTCTGTCCAGATCCCCCTGCAGAGCCTTCCTGCCCTCCAGCAGATCAACTCCTGCCCAACTTGGTTTCACCTGCAAACTGACTAAGCGTGCCCTTGGATCCCCTTGTGAGGATCAGCAATAAAGATTCTGAACAGGATGAGGCCCCAGTACTGAGCTCTAGGGAACCTCATTAGCAACCAGCTGCCAACTGGATGTGGCACCATGCAGCACCATTCTTTGTTCCAACCATTCAAGAATTTTTAACATCTTTGCTGATATGTGACAGGAAATTCTTCCCTATGAAGTCTGACACTCTTCTAACAACTATGAAGGAAGAAGCTGAATAGACACTCCTCCTTTTATTTGGTCTTTACCATCCACTGCTACAGTTCTCCCATGATGGCTGCTACGTGGAGAGACAGACCTTGCCCTATCCACAGCCAGCAAACACTGAAAGACAGGAGCCTAAGCCTCTGCTCTAGCCCATTGGGCCACTCAGCTGCAGTGTTCTGCAAAATGCACCTGGAAAAGCAATAACCATGAGTTTTCAGAACTCCAAGATTCAAATCCATCAGCACTTACACAAATTCTAGAGAGAAAGAGGACATTCAGGAAAATTATTCAAATACGTACTTTAGCATCCTTTTTGGTAACAGGGTGCCTCAGATTCATGATCAGTCAGGACTGCACCAAAGGTGAGTACCAGTGAGCATCTGAAGAGGAAAACAGCAGGTTTCCTACATTGGTCAGAGAAGACAATGACATGTGAACATAATGGAAGAAGCAGTAAACTCGAGGGACAGCTAATGGGTATTTTCAACTTTTTAACCCCTATGACCTATGCACTGACAAGCCCATCATGGGAAAAATGACAGATACTGTGATGAAAGATCCTGGGCATAATGATTTCATAGCCCACAGTCTTTAACTGAGCCAAAAACAGTCAGTTGAACCTCAGGGCAGGATGAATAGCATTCAAACATTTACCTTTAAATAGAACTTGATTGAAACAGGTGTTAGGTGCACTTTTTTCTGGAAAATAAACCTATATGTATTTTAAATTAGGATGGCCTACCAGAAAACTTAATGGTATCATAATCTACTAACACCACTTATAAATTCAAACACTGCATATCTATTCAGAAAACTACTAAGCTTACAGACATATCTGAAGTACCCACACGGTGAGGCTCTCAAAATGCTGTATCAACTGTTGACCACAGAAACTTGTTCTAAAAACACAGTAACAAAAAAAAAAGAAAAAAAAAAAAATCATGTAAAACTACTTGTTAATTTAAAAATTTCAAACTAACTGGAAACTGAAAAGCAGGAAAGCCATTTTTCCTCTTTCAGTCTCTAAATAGCCAATGTACGCACAAAAGGATAAGATACATTTGTTCCAAAATTCTGAAGGACATAGTTACCAGGAAAAGTCAGTTTTGCTAATAACTGCTGATAACAGTTATTTTGCTTAGTATATCCTGGAGCTACAGATGCAAAACATGTTTTGAGATGTCTTATAAAACAGCACACTGAATATTTGCTTTCTTATAAAACAGCACACTGAATATTCATACATTACAATACAAAATACTGTTACATTGGAATTTAAATCAAACTTTTAACCACATGAGCTTGGTACTAATAGGCAAAAATAGAATATAAGTCATTATTCTCTGAGCAACCATAACAAATAAGCCTTTATATAAATTGCTCAGATAGATAAAAGATCTTCAAAACACGTGTTCCTCTACTAATCAATGCATTGTACCTCATAAAAGAAACAGAATTTTTATGCAAAATGCTTAAAGTTACAAACACAAAACAAGATTTATTTTCTTTATCTCTACATATGGGTCACTTTTTTAATTTTAACTATATGATTTCATCCAATTTGCCAATGCTCACTAAACGAAAGGTCAGGCCATCAAGATCACTAGAACTAAATGTTGGTTGTACTACCAGACATAATTTTGCTTTCAGCCACTATCCTCCCCTGTTCTTTTTTCACTGATGAAGAAAAAACAGACAAGCTAAGGTTTAAAGAGAGTTCCTGTACAGGACTGGTCTTGGAGCAAACCTCCTTTGGCTCATTGTCTGTGTGACTACAAAGCCTATTTGGGCTGCAAGGGTATACTTTGAGAGATGATTTTGCAGTAGGTGTTTCAGCAAGTAAGATGTTATTAGACAATGATTGCCTTCATGCTCCTTTGTGTTGGTGGAGAACAATCTGTCTCTGGTGTGGCAAGCAACTAAGAGAACAAAATAAGCATAAGACTCAGTTTCACACTTTCTTCGCACTCAAAAAAGATGACCATGTCCCTGAAACGTACTTGTAGGTATATGTAATATATTAAGTGTCCGAAAAAGATATTTGATCATGCTATTTTAGAAAACATTAAAACTCAGACTCATTGCAGCACCATAACCTGCTGCTTCAGATCAACTCCTAAGGTTTATATATCCTGCTTTTCTTTACTATCTATGCTGCAAACTTTATTAACAATACTTTTGTATCTTAGTCAAAACTGCAAGGCAAAACATGGCATGGTAGCGAGAAATCAGGCTCCAAACACTACTAAACACATTTATGTTTTAAATTCTCTTAGTATGGCATTTTTAATTGAAAATACCCCCTACAAGCACCAAATCATGCAAAAATTCCTCAGGTTTAAATGATTATTATAGAAAAATCAAGATCTTTAATCTTCAATCCTGCAACCTCTATGATATAAGCCCAAAGCTTCCTTCTCCCTTTTTTCCCTTTTGAGACCCGTTTTGTTACAGATTAGCCTCTGACAGAAAAATCTGAACTGACCACTCCATTCTTCCTCCCAATACATGAAGCTTCCTTCAAGCACAAAAACATCCTCTTGCCCAATCAGTTTCTTAATTCACAGTCCAGAAGCTGCATTTCAACTATTTTAGACAATCATGGAATTATTTTGGTTCCAGAAAACCATCAAGTGCAACCATTAACACATCACTGCCAAGTCCAGCGCTAACCCATGTTCCCAAGTGCCACATCTACAAGCCTTTTAAATACCCCCAGGGACAATGACTCCACCACTTTCCCAGGCAGCCTGTTCCAGTGCTTGACAACTTTTTCTGACAATATCCTAATCCTAATATCCAATCTAAACCTTTCCTGGTGCAACTTGCAGCAATTTCCTTGTCCGTTGATTATAGCCTGGGAGAAGAGACTGACCCTCATCTCACCACCTCCTTTCAGGCAGTTGCAGAGAGTGATAAGGGCATCCCTGAGCCTCCCTTTCTCCAGGATAAACACCCCCAGCTCCTCCTCACAGGACTTGTGCTCCAGACCCTCCTCTCCCAAAAGACAAGTCATGCAGTCCATTACAGGTGAGAAGGCCAAGTGATACTTCCCCAGTTTAAGCATGAGTGCATGAAGATGATACTCATTATGGATATGTACACAAACACATTACAAAAATATTTTTCTCAGAAGGCAGAAATTGCAAATATTGAAGAAACCTGGGGCCAGTACATTTAACTCTGATTCATCACTTGGAGAAAATCTGTGAATACAAATTAAGCAGAGAGCAATTAAGTAACAGCTTTTCCTTCCTTTGATGATTGCATACACTGCAATCATTTTGCGAACTGACTCTTAACCATTATACACACAAGGAAAACCACTGCCAAACATCTGTATTTCATTCCTTACAAAACGAGACAAACAGAAAGTTTCAATTCTTACTATCTCACGACTTGAAAGAAAGAAACCAAAAGGATCTTTTCGGCCGAAGAGACACAGAAGCATGTCCTGCCCCAAGTCTCGGATGAACGCCTGGAGAGATGCGAATGCTAGCAAGCTCCACTGCTAGAGATCCACGCGAGTAACAGTCCGGGGAAGAGTTTCACACTCTCCCACACTTCATATAAATGAACGCGAGCAAAGACCACTCTGCTGAAAGCATCTTTTTCACTTACCTCAGCTGCGCTTGTTTTAACAGGAGCCTCTGCCTCTCCGCAACCGCGAAGGGACGGACAAAATGGGAAGTTGCCCGGCTGAGCACAAGTAACGCTTTTTCCTGTAATTCCGAAGGTCAGACCCCCCCCACGCCCGCCGCCGGCACTAGCGGGGCTGGACTCGGCTCCAGCCGCCCGCGGGCGGATGCTCTGCCCTGCCCGGAGCCCCGGCAGCCGCCCGCCCCCGGAGCCACCCCCCGGCCCTGTGCGGCCCCTCCGAACCCTGCCCGGCCCCTCCGTACCCTGACCAACCCCGCCCGGCCCCTCCACACCCTGCCCGGCCCCTCAGCCTCCCGAGCGGCCCCTCCGCACCCTGATCGCCTCCCGCCGGGCCTGAGGCCGCTGCCAGCTCCCGCCTTACCGGCTGTGAGGGCGCGCCCCCGGCAGCCGCGCCGCTCTCTCAGGCGGGAGTGTGGGCACTGGCATTTTGGTGCCAGTGGATCAAGTAAAGAGTGTCTTTAAATCGCACAAAGACGCGCAGCGAGGATTTTGGGTGGGTAACAGCCACGCCGAGGAGCACTCCCGCGTAAGCACCTCATGCATCATTCAGGGCACAGGCAGGGGAATAAATCAAGTGGTGATCCCTTTTAAAAGTTACAAATGTATTCTTAATGGCTTGGAAGAAGAGTGCAGCCATCAGCAACATAACTGACTGCAGCAATGGGGCTGAAAGTCAGAAGGAACTTTACAATTAAGATGCTGTGAAGTTAGTAAATGGAAATCCAAAGTCCGTAGTTAATGTGCCTCCCACTAAGCAGTGACAGTCCTTGCTAAGCAGACGCTCCCCAAGAACAGATACTGAATTTTAATAATGCAATCAGTACATCAAGAGGTGTTGGTCCCAATTCAGGAAGAGATCCATTACAGACAGCAAGTTGTTTACCCTGCACTAGTGTCGCACACAAGATAAGCTGTAGATTGACGCATTTCGACTTCTATGACTTGTGCAGCTCAGGTTTTTTCAGGCTATTTTAACATGCAAGCTCAACACCCACTCCAACTTCCAGATCACTCTTAAGCCTTTTCAGCTAATCATCAGATTCAGCCAGTCAGCCCATTTGCTTCCCTTTTATTTTTGAATGATGTTGCCGTCTCCCCATTACCCATAACCTCCGTGTGAGGCTACATTGGAAACTGCTTTAGTGTTTTTAAATTCCCCTTGCTATTTAGAAGTATACAGTAGCATGGATAGTGATATTTTGAAAATTTGTATTTGTTTTACTATGAGGTAATAGATGAAACAGAAATGTGGTTCAAAAGAAGCAGACGTAAACTGTAACCTAAGTGCTCTTTGGTATACCAGTTTTGTTTTTTTCTTTAGTGAGAACATAAGAAAGGGCAAGACCAGACCCTTAATTCTGTTTAATTATTGAACATCTATTCTAGACTTGGTCTGATTAGTTGCCTGTTCTCACACATTAATACATGGATTTCACTGACACACTGAAAGTTAGCTGCTCAATCTTTCAAAATCATGAAAAGCTGCACCACACCTAAAAGACTAGTTAAACATTTGTTTAACTTTCAAAACCCTTTAGTCATCCCTCTGCCTGCCTCTTCGCTATGTACATGCTTATATTAAGGCTTCCACAGTCTTAAATGTTTGGTTGTGGACTGGACAGTAGCACTCAGGAGATTCCAGGATGCAGAGGGCACTTAATGATAGCATCAGTAACTGTTTCAGCTACTACCATTTGTAGGAAGTTAACAGTAAAGAGAAAAACATCTTACAAAAGTAATATCATTTACCAAAAGTGATTTGGCACAGAAGATGGGAAACCTTTAGAGTACAATAGAAATCTTGCCAAAAAATGTGTTCCATATCCACATTTACAGGCTCTTTCATCCACTTTGGACATGAATGCTCTAGAAGAACTAACTTTTCCATCCTGAGGGTGGGAGCAAAGTGAAGCTACTGTTCCTGAAACACAAGGAAGGAAGTGCCTTCCACAGAAACACTCGACTGTTTTCATTGCTGATGCCTCTATTGTTTGGCCCGGTGATTCAGGGGTAACTGCTCCAGAGATCAGTTGATCCCAGATGGCACCCCTTCTTGAAGAGAAGCATTTCCACTGTCTCTGTTGGCAGGGTGAGACAGGAAACTGCAGAACTACTGCTAAAAATCCGACCTTCATTACAAATTGATTTGTTACCAGTAATAGTTCAGTTTTGAAAAACATTTATCTTCTGTATTATGTATGACCACACCCTCTAAAATTACTGACCACTGTATAATTACAGTGAGCCTGTATTAGTTAAAACACTGGCACAGAATAGAGCATTTTGTAGTTCAGTGGAAAAATTAGGTGCATTTTCATTGACCAATTGACCTTGCAGCATTTAATCATGCAGTCTTAGCAAAATCAGGTTCAATGGAAAACATGTACTGAATTTTACCTCAGGAAGTTGCTGAGTTGGTTTTAACCAAGAACCTCATTAGGCTGATTTCTCCCTGCACCAATGACTCCAACCACTTCATTCCTCTAAAAGTAAAGAGGAGGGCATGACAACAGACTTATATTGACTTACAGCATTGCAAAACACAAATAAAAACCACAAGTGTCCTTCTATTCCCTACTGACTTCACTCTTGGGGAAGAAACATCCAATGAAACCAGTCTGATTTTGATATCAATTTCTAAATATGCATAACTCCAGTTTTCAGTGAGTAGCTTGTCATTAGAAATCTACTAGCATCAATGTCCATGCAAAGCTGCATTCAACAGGTAAAAAAATTAACTATGCTGTTCTTAAATTTCACTTTAGTGCAACATAAAAATTCAACAACAGCAGTACCCTCAAAACCATGCTCTTAAATTGCTGGTTTATGACTAAAGCCGTAGTTTAAATGCAACACATTGTCCAAGCTTATGTAACATATCACTGAATAAGCAACAATAATGGGTGTGACAACCCACTGTTAAGGGGAAGGAAGCACCTAAGATTTGTAAATGCTCACTCATCAAAAGGAACAACAAGTCAAAGGGTACAAAATCAATCAGAAAGTTTTATTTGGCATGGGAATTGGTGCTAATCCCTGACCTACTACATAAGCACACTGGGTTTTTGATAAAGGCGTGGGGGAAGAGAGAAAGGACCACCACAATCCATCTAAAGTGTGCCTAAAGTCAGCATCCTCACAATGGGCACATATAAAACTCTGTCAAATTAGAGTCAGAGGCAGACTCTACAAACTGCTCACAACTAAAAAGTGGCGTAAGAAATGTACCAATTACTATGTTTACAGTGTGCAATTACCAACATTTAATACACACAAAAAGGTTTTAATGCCTAAGTGCAATAATGTAAGCATCTTTTTCTGTGCTCTAGAGATTTATTCCTCAAGAAAAGCGTGAGGTGTTTTGCTAAGAAGGCCACAGAGCCATTATCAACTTCACTATAGAGAACTATGCAATACTTCCTGTCACATCTTCCTTCAGAGCATTGCGACATTGCAACAGCTGTAATTGCAATCTGATAAAATGCTGGCAAAGAAGGGATGCTTTATTCCCAGAGTCATGTCTTTAGTGGTTTACTACAGAATTTTTTCACATGTTTTCATAATATGGTAATTTAAGATTCACAAGCCTTTTACTACAACTGCAAAAGCAGCTAAACATAATTAAACCCATTTGTACAAACAGGCTAAAGGAATTATTGAAAATCCCATGTGGCTTTAGTAGCTGGATGACAAAATGCCATTTCTTGTAATTTCCACTGCAAGACCATAGTGAACAGACTCTTTATGACAACTGCAATCAGCATGAGTTACTGTTGGCAGAGAGTCACTGAGAAGGCAGAGCTGCAGCAGTTTGTAGTAACCACCTGCAATGAAGCAAGTTTCTCACAGAAAAAAGAAAGAGGCTATGTAGATGAGAACAGCTTATCATACAGATATTCTCTTACACCTACCACTGCCTACTAAATCATATCACAAAATGCCATGTTGACTCATTTATTGAACAATGCCAGGGATTGCAACTCCACCACCAAACTGGGGAGCCAGATAATATTCTTAACAACTTGAATCTTAAGTTTTTCCTGATATCCAATATAAACCTCTCCTGATACAACCTAAGGTCTTTTCCACTTGTCACAGAACCATAGAATCATGAACATTGGAAAAGACCTCCAACATTGAGTACAACCTTTGATCAAACATCACTCTGTCAACTAAACCACAGCACTAAGGGCCAGCTCCAGATGTTTTTTGAAAATCTTCCATGCATGGTGACTCCATCATCTCCCTAGGCAGCCCATTGCAATGCCTAATCACCCTTTCTGAGAAGAATTTCTCCTTGATACTCAACCTGAATGCCTCCTGGTATTAAAGCAACTTCCTCTCACCCTGTGACTGATTGCCTGGGAGAAGAGACTGACTCCCACCTGGATACAACCTCTTTTTAGGTCACCCCTGAGCCTCCTTTTCTCCAGGATAAACACCCCCACCTCCCTCAGCTGCTCCTCACAGCACTTGTGCCCCAGCCCCTGCCCCAGCTCCATTGCCCTTCTCTGGACTCTCTCCAGCCCCTCAGTGCCTTTCCTGCAGTGAGGGCCCAGAGCTGGACCCAGCACTGGAGGTGAGGCCTCAGCAGTGCCCAGCACAGGGGGACAATCCCTGCCCTGGCCCTGCTGGCCACAGCATTGCTGATCCAGGCCAGGATGCCATTGGCCTTCTTGGCCACCTGGGCACAGCCTGCCTCATGTTCAGCTGCTGTCACCAGCACCCCCAGGTCCTTTCCAGCCACTCTGCCCCAGCCTGTGGCACTGCCTGGGGCTGTTGTGACCCAAGGGCAGGATCTGGCACTTGGCCTTGTTGAACCTCACACCACTGCCCTCAGCCCATGATCCAGTCTGTCCAGATCCCTCTGCAGGGACTTCCTGCCCTCCAGCAGATCAACACTCTCATACAGTCTGGTTTCATCTATGAACTGAGGCTACACTACATCAGGTCATTAATAAAGATATTGAACAGAAGTGCTCCCAGTACTGACTGAGCCTAGGGG